CAGCCATGCAGAACTGGCTCTTTTCATTGTAAATTAAACCTAATTTCTTTATAAATTACCCAGTCTTGGGCAGTTCTTTATAGCAGTGAGAGAACAGACTAATACACCTGACATGACATGATGATTCATATATGTTCTCTAATTTTACCTGCAGAAGGACCTATCATACCTAACACCCTCTCCATTCTACAGATGGAACTGTAATTCTGAGTGATGACAGCATACAGCTAACATTACACAACTAGCAAGAAGAGTCTCAGAAAGGGTAGCTATTTTCCCTAAAGGCAAAGCAGACCTTGGAGCCAGAGGACCTAAGAAGAATCATGGGGCCTTAAATGTGCCGGTAGTGGTTCCTACACTGGAAGATGGGACATATTGCTACCTAATAGAGAGAGCTACTACACAGATCTCATGCCTGTCATAGGGTGTGAACATAGCAGGCGCTCCAGAGATGACCTTTTTCCCCCAATGCCTCATCAAAAAGCATGGCAAATGGTGTGACTGTCCCTGTACTGGGTCAATTTTCTTGTCCATTGTACTTTAACCTGTGGCCCCATCCTGTACCCATTTGCATCTGAAGCCTTAAAGCTTCACTGACCGTGCCCATGAGCTTTTAGAGATACCTGAAGTCTATACTCAATGATACAGTGGTGAGAGTCTAGGGAGTAGGTTATCTGGGATCTGCCCTGAGCTTAGCCAACAATTTGCTATGAGGTCTTGTACTTCATTATGCAACTCTGGACATCAGCTTTATAATATACATCAGGGTTTAGCTATGGCCTGGAAGCCAAATCCAGCCCACCATCTGTTTTTGCACATAAAGTTTTATTGGAACACAGCTGGGTCCATTCATTTACATATTATCTATGACTGCTTTCACGGTACAATGGCAGAATTGAGTAATTGCAAAAGAAACTGTATGGCTTGCAAAGATTAAAATATTTTCTTTTTAGCCCTTAACAGAAAATGTTTGCCTTATCCACAAAATGAGGATAAACCTAAGCCACGTGTGCCAGTGTGCAGTCTGTAAATTGTCTATGGATAGGAAGAGTAGATAATTTATCATTGAAACTGGGGCAAACTATGAAATGGATGCTCTTAATTTCACCAGGATAATAGGAGTAAACAGGGTTGTCCCAGCACACTGAGATGTAGGAACACCTGTCTGCAGAATACCAGCTCAACAGTCAGGTGGTCATCTGACAAAAACAGCGACAAGATCAAACTTAGAGGAAAGACCGTAAATTAAACACCAATAAACGGATTTCTTTCTGACTCCTCAGAATTCCCACATGAGTAACTGTGAGTCTCCTAGAACCAAATACATCATACAGCTCTTCCAAAATGCTGTGACCTCTACCACATCAGCCTTCACCTCAGAGAATCTGGGGGAACAAATGTTCCACTGAGCACACTCTACAGGTCATGCACTGGGTATTCTTCCCAGAATGTGCAAGCAAGATACTTTCCCCTTGTTCATGCAACTGTGCAGGTAGAGAATATAGGGCCCTATGCTTAATGCCATTCTGAAAGCCCAAAAGTTCTGAAAACAAGGTTCTTCAGTTTAGTGTTATACAAAGTAATTTGGTGGTAAAACCTGAACTCAGCCAAATTGGCCTGATACTGCTTACAATATTTATCCCATTTCTTGTGAGTATCTAATAAGTTTTGCTGTAGAAATATTAGATTTGATTATAGGGTACTGCCTCAGACCCTACCAGGGTTGTTATGAAATATACAAGATATGCAAATATATTACAAGTTAAATTCCAAACATTCTGAATTCTGACACATATCTGACACCATCAGTTTCAGATAAAGGTTTGCATTAAAACATACTACACAAAAGGAAAAGACACAGAAATAATGAGTCCAAAGGTATGTAATTTTTCTCAAAACATCTAAAATAAAACACATCACGTTGTTAGTGACGCACACGTTAAAAACAAATGATCTTCCTTTTAGCCACTTTCATTGATAAGTTCCTGCTCTTCTAAAGAAGGGTGTAGGGTCTTAACCTCACACCAAATGACCACAGTTCCCCTGACTACCCCAAGACCAGCTCTGTCCCATTCACCTCTGTGTTACCGATGCCTGAACTGGCCTGGCTCACACAGGATGCAAAATGACTGACAAGTGGATGAGTATAGGGAGCAAGTGGCAGAATGATGGTGTAATGAGTTCTTCCAAGAATTCACTTTCTCTTTTCCTCTTTTCTTCTCTTTCTCACTTCCTCTTATTTCTGTTCTCTTCCTAACTTTGCTTACTTCCTGCCTCTGGCTCTTGGCCACCCATGGACAGGCAGAGAAGATGAGGTTGGGGGAGAAGCAAAGGAAATGTGGTCACAAACAGGGCTATTTAGAGCCATCTCCAAGGCTTCCTGCATATTGCCAGGGTTGTGGGAGTAACCTGTGCTGTTCGACAGTCCCTGCCACAAATATCTTGTCTTATTGTCTACTCATTTAGGTCTCCTGACAACCCCAAAATATAAACCTTAATAAAACTCTCAACACAGACCAAGGCACTACAAGAGACAGCTGCAGAATTCTCCGCAATGGATGATGAGAATGAGCAGAACTAGCACCCCATAAAGGTGAGGTCCCTTCTGAGAGCCCAGCCTTGGAGTCATCCCCTTCATCTCCCCACCCACATGCTCCAGGCAGGGCTAAGCCTTTCAATAACTCTACTAAGGGAAATTGTGGAGCCAAGTGGTGAAGAATTTTGATCTGTGCAAATTTGACAACCACCGGCTGTTGAAGTGTGGCTAATGAGACTGTGAAACTGAACTCATTTCACTTAAGTTCAGTTACCTTAAATTTTAGTTTAAAAACTGATACCCAATTCACTTAAGAATGTTTGGAACAACCTGTATATATGAATCCATTTCTTCAGCTATATATTTTATGAATCTAAATACAGATCAGTATCATTAATGAAAATAAAAACTTTAAATTGAGACTTACTGTAAGTGTAAAATATAGACTGGATTGTAAAGACTGATAGGGAGAGAACAGAAAATATCTTGCTAATAATTGTTTAGACTGATTACATGTTGAAGTGATAGCATTTTGGATACACTGGGTTAAGTAAAATAGATTCTTAAAATTAATTTCAAAGATTTCCCTTTACTTTTTGGTTAATAAATATTTATAAATTATGTGTGGTTTCCATTATGTTTATATTGGATTATATAGCTTAGAGAGTAAAATCAAATAGAATGGGTAAAAACCAAGACCCTACCTCCATTCCAGCTTGGGTTATCACTTAACATTTCTGAGCCTTTGTTTCATACTATAAAATGAGTATAGTAGTACCTGCCACAAAGGATTATTCTGAAGGTTAAACAAGGTAAGTTATGTGAAATATTTTGTACTGTGCCTGAAACAAGATAAACACCCAATGAACGGTAGGTATCACCATCACCACCATTACCATCATCACCATTACCTCTCCCCTATTTCTGAAAGGAATTTCAGGAAATGTATCATGAGGAAACGTAAAATTATTCTAAAAAGAAATCATAAGCCATTGAGGATAAAATGGAAATATTTATGGCAAAAATCCAGGCTAAATACTGAGGGTAATTGAGTATTAAATTCTGATTTCTTGTTACTAAGGCAAAAAGGAAATAAAGCTTGAATTGTCTCATTAAGGTCAACCCAACAAGTGATCTCAATACATAAATGTATTCTTAACACTAAAATCTGGAAGAACTGTACCATGGATATTCAACTGGAGGATGTCTAAGAAGCCCCCAGCCAATGATCTTGCCACCTTCAGGTCCATCTGCTTCAGATGCTAGAGAAATTTCTCCAAAATAAAGATCTGACTGCATCACTCTCTAACCTAAAATCTTTCAACAGTGCAAAGTGGGGATTAACTGCAAATGAGCACAAGGTATCTTACAGGGAGGATGAACATGTTCTGGACTAGTTTATGAGGATGGTTGCACAATTCAATAGGTTTTCTAAAGTCATGGGACTGCACACTTAAAATAGGTGGATTCTGTGATATGTACATTTTATCTTAATAACATTGTTTAAAAAATAAAATTTTAAATAGCTCCAGGCCAAGACAATGTGGAGAACTATTCTTCTAAAAGATGCTTTATGGATTGGTGCCAATATATACACTGTGTTTATCAGGTCACAAGGAGATAAGGAAGGAAGGAGAGAGAGATTTGGAAACTGTTATGGCAATTTGGCATTGCCAGGACATTTTTTTTTACAGTGGTTTATATGAGTATTACTTCACAATGAGCTGGGAGGAAAAGTGTCCCTTCACCACAGACAGCCTGGACAGCACTGCTTTACACTAAGTTCCATTCATTAGCCCGGCATTCAGGGCCCTCCATGATCTACATGTCCCTGCAGGCTGATCTCCATCTGTCCCCTTTGCATCGTACCTTAAACAACTTAGTCTTTCCAAACTGCCATCGTCTATCATCCACTCCTCTAGCTCATAGCACACGCTGTTCTTGACAACTCGAATGCCTTTCCCTCTTTCCCTTTTAAAATAAATTTCTATTCATTCTTCAAGGTTCATCTTAGAGGTCATCTCCTCTTACAAACCGTCGTAATTGCCTTCCCCAGCAAACACCCCATTCCCCAGAGGGTGATCTTTGACAAGTTATCTCATCTCTCTGAACCTCAATCTTTTCATCCATAAAACAGGACAGTACTAGAACCTCCCGTGTTATGTGGTCGTAAGCACTGACTTTATAAAGAGGAATCAATGCTGTGTTCCTCCATCATCTTCAGGAGCCACATGCATCCTGCTATACTGTCATTTTATTTATACATCAGTCTTTTCTTACAGATGATGAACTCAAGGGAGGCAGGGGCTGTGTCGGGTCACCTCTACAGAGCTTGGCTAGGAGAAGTCCAGTAAACACAAGTGAATAAACAAAGTTCTTTCTAGACCTAGCACCTGTAGGAAGAGCAGTGTTGTACAGATTTATTACTAACTTTCAAAAATAAAACCACGGTAAAATGCCATACCTGATAGAAATGTGGCCAGAAAGTGCTGATGGCGAGCTCTGCCTTCACCCAGCCCTCAGTGACGACCCCGGACACGTTCCAGACAGGGTTCCCTTGGGGGCCACCATTCACCTTCACGTAGACATTTAAAGCCCCTGGGCTGGATCTGTCACGGCTGGAGAAGTAGTAATGAAAGTCGATGCAGTGGGTGTCATTCTCCTTCAGGGTTGGCAGGAGAAGGTGGGCCTTCTGGCCAGAGGCTCTCCCAGAGCTGTTCACCATCATGAAAGATCCTGGAGACCAACAATACAGGTGGGAAGTAGAGACAAAGAGAGAGTAAGAAAATCTGTCTGAAAATCAGTCACACTCATAAACATGGTGGCCAGAGGAGAGGCCAGTGGTCAAGTCACTCTAGGAGGGTCTGGGTGACGCTGCAAAAGCCACATCTCCTCTCTGAGCCTGAGTATCCTCTTCTGTAGTTGGGAATAAAAATCTATTCCACAAGGTGGTTTAAGAATTAAGAGATGGTAACATGTATGAAGTATTTTTGCAAAGTGCTACTATTCCTATTAGCAGAAAACATAGCTACTATTTCCCAGCATTCAAACAGTTGCCTTATAGAAATGAAGTGAGCCTCTTTTGAGTTCCTTTGACAAATTAAATGGTTGCCTCCAATTCTTCATCCCCCCCTGGATCCACGTCCCTTGCCATTGGCTTTGCAGTTCCTTCTAGCAGAAGCAGAGGGTTTGTTCCCATCCCCTGACTTTGGGCTTTACCGTATGACTTGCTTTGGTCAACGGGATGCTAATAGAATGATTCAAACAAAGGTTAAAATGTGCTTGCCTTGCTGGGCTTGCCATCTTGCACTACTGCTTCCTTTCATGAGAAGAATGTGTCCCCAGCAGCAGCTGCCCCTTTCAGCTTGGGATCAAGAATACACACACAGAGGATATCTGACTTGAACCGATAGTAAAGAACCAAGCCATGCCCCCTCCCCCTGCAGCTGGAATTACAGCCACATGGCCCAAAAGCCCAACCTAGGTCAGCCAATCTACAATCAGTGCACAGTCCCACGAGAGCAAGAGTAAAGGCTTATTGTTGTTTTCCACTGAGTTCCTTCTCCGTGTGTTTTGCTGCTTTATTGTGACAATAGCTTATTGATAAAGCTGCCTGAGAGGGCAGACTCGTGAAAGAAACCATGAGGAGGTACATTTCAGTTCAGTGTACAAAGAACTTTCTAACAAGTGAAGTTGGTACCAAACAGAATTGACTGGCCAGAGACAAAGTGAGTCCCCATCCATGCAGGTGGTGAAACAGAGCCTGGACAAATTAAAGAGAGGGTTAAGGAAATTTCACAAGCAGCTGGTGGGGCTGAACTCTGTGACTTAGAATCCTATGATTCTATGAAATAAATTGCATCATGAAACACAGCAGATAAACTCACGTGATTCTGGAATGAATGTTTCCACCTAGAAAATCACTTAAAATATTCAATTCAGAAAGAAACCTTAAGACCACTTATCCTCAGCCAAGGTGAGCTGCTTCAATAGCTAAAAGTCACCTCATTCATTCACCCTAATACCAAAAAGACTAACCGCTTCCAGCTAATAAATACTGGGAAACCCATATCTTCTTGGGGTTCTAAAAGGTACCAATCAAACCCTGTCTCCTCCAGGTTCTGAGTGAATTTAAAAACAGACACAAGAGAGGGAGAGACAGACAGAGAGGTCAAAACCTCCACATTATTATTCACAAAGTAACTTGGACTTAAGACCAAATTAGACTTTCTGCATGTTACCCCTGAACCACCATGAAGAGCAGGGTTACTCAGCCTCCAACTCTGCCCAGATCCCCAGGCCAGAGCTGTCTTACTGGGATGATCACTTAGGATACTTGGGTGGGCTTAAACCAAAAAGCAGCCAGGTGAAAAGCAAAGAGAAGCCTGAATCAGTTGCTATCATGTGTTTGTCATCCTACCAATGAGAAAAATGTCTGTGTAAATGTAAGGAGGACAAGTGCAGTTGTGTTACATGGATATGCTGTATCGTGGCCAAGTCTGGGCTTTTAGTGTAGCTATCAACCAAATAACATCTATTGTATCCATTAAGTAATTTCTCATCCCTCACCCCCTCCCACCCTCCAACCCTTCCAAGCCTTCAATGTATATCATTTCACACTCTGCATCCATGCATGCACATTATTTAGCCACCACTTAAAAGTGAGAATATGCAGTATTGATTTTCTGTTTTGGCATTCCTTCACTTAAGATTATTGTCTCTAGTTCCATCCATATTGCTGCAAAAGTCATGATTTCAGAAAATGTAGTACCCCTTGGGGTGGGAGCCACTGGAAGTGGAACAAAGGTGCAGGTGTCTTTGCCAGTGTTTCTAAGTGAGTAAAGTTTCCTAGTTTAGGGCCTTGCAGTAACACAAGGTAAATGGAGAGACGTCTCCATGTCAGAGAAGTTACGAATTATCATAAACCCCCAGTGAGGCAGCAAAAAAGGAGTGATTACAGGGGCAGAAATTGAGGCTTAGAGATGAGACAGAGCCCGCATCCATGCCCATATCCGTCCATTGGCCTACATGCCACAGGGTTCCAGAAGGTTTCCTTAGACAGGTAAGTAGCAACTCCGAAGCCCCACAAAGGGTTTGTGACTGCCCCTGCCACTGAGAAGTAGCTCATCTCCCAGCAGGAGGAGCAGCCTGAGAAGCAAAGTGTCTCTCTCTCTCCTTTATGAATCCCATGATACCCACATGCATATTTCAGCTCCTGTCCTCCTGCCAATTCACACCACAGGCACCTGTTTCCTTGGCTCCTTACAATCCACAGCAGAGGGAGTTGAGAAGGTTTTCCTTCCAGCAGCTCATTTTCCCACTTCCTTCCCTCCTACCTTCAGTAGCAGGGCAGGCTCGCTGAGGAGGTAGAGATCTCCCTGTTCCATGTAGCTTCACGCACAACCCTCTAACATCGTTCTGGACACATAGCTAGACTTCGTCTTCCAGCCTCCCTTTAGCATTTGGTGGGCACATTCAACTGAGTTCTAGATAATGGGGCAGGAGTATGATGTGTGCCACTTTCCAGGCCTGGATGGTAAAAGCTGCCTCCCTCTTACCCACCCACCTCCATACTAAATGATCTTGCCTCTCAAAGACTGGTCTTTGGACCAGCCACCCCAGCGTCACCTGGGGGCTTGTGAGAAACAAGAATCTCACATCTGCCTGCAGGTCTGCTGAGCCTGGATCTGCATTTTATCAAGAACTCCAGGTGATCCACATGCACATTAAGGGGTGAGAATCCCTGACCCAGTCTATTTTCCCATCTACTGGCTGAATGTTCCAGATCTCAAGAGCCTAGGGGAAAGCAGAGCCACCAGGAAAGAAGCCAGGTTCCCCAAATGAGCAAAGCCACATGGAAGGCTACTCACCCATTAGGAGCACTCATCTTGGATTTTAAGTAAAAAGGGAATAAACTACTATTCAGCTACAAGTCCATTTATTCAAGGCAATAAGATGTGAAATGATAGCTACTAAGCAAAGTTGCAAGACGCTCTGCATAAGGACATCATCAAGAGCAGCAAGCCTGGGTGGTAACTTGGGAGGCATTTGAAATAGAGGGAATATCCCAGGCAAAGACACAGAAGCATCCAGTATGCTAGTGTAAGGTCTTGAAGGTGGGGGATGGGATCCAGTGGCCAACTCTAGCCCCTTCCACATGTAACCCACCTTATATAGGTCTGACCACACCCTCCAGAAAGGAAGGGAGCTGTATCTGTGAGTTGAGCTCAAGCCCATCATTAGAGATTGTACAGGAGTGAAAGCCCCGGCACATCATCTGCTCTGTGGGGCCCTCTTTGATCAACAGGTTGGCATAATTAATATCATCCCAGGGCTGTCAGTTTCCTGGAGATCAAAAATGAGTCGGTCATTATGCCAAGATCAGTCAGAAACAAGAAAGACAAAGACTGTAAATACATTCTTTTCCCTTCTCCCTTAAAAAAGAAAAACATCTACTAATGTGATAAGGAACATAAAGCAGCATTAGTTTCTTCATAGTTATTATACATACCACTGAAAAGTGTGGAATTAAACCAGGAAGTACTCTCTGGCTGGCCATAAATTTTGCATTTTTCCCCTTCGTGCATAATAATGCCTTGATAAGCGCCTCATTATTGATGTGTCTGCAACACAGATCCCCTTTTTGGAGGCGAAACACTTCTCCATAGCAGATGGCCGCTATTGTGTTTACACATGAACACCTCAGGATTGCATTTCCTCACGTTGGCAGTAAAAAGAAAGTCCTAATTGAGTTTTTAATGGCTTTGCACATTGTTCATTAAGATTACATGAGTGTGTTCGGGCGACTGGCAGCTGAGGGCCTTGGGCACCAAGAGCTCAGCGTGGTCCCTGCAGACAGGTGGCCCTGCCAGCTCCCAGTGCCAGCACCTACTTGAAAGGAATGGATGTTGGTGGGGCCTCAAATGCTGCCAAAAGCCGAGCAGCTGCAGTGGCATGGAACGGGGTCTTCAGTCAAGGAAACTCAGTTTCACTCCCGCTTCTGTCATTTCTTAGTTGCATGACTTTGAGTAAGTCGGTAAAATTCCCTGGGCCTCAATGTCCTCATCTATAAAATGGGATAATAAAATCTACACATCAAAGTTGTTTGTTTTCAGTGAATATTAAGTAAAAATGGTACTTAATAAATGCTAATTTTATGACAAATAGCCAACAGCAGGTAACAGTAGATCTAACGTAGTTGGTCACACCTAATATTTACTGAGAACTTTTCATGTGTCAGGCATTAATCTAAGCATTGTTTAGTACCCCAGTGAGGTGGTGCCATGCTCTCCCTGTTTTTAAGCAAGGAATACTAAGGAACAAAGAGGTGAACTCATTTTCCCAAAGCCACATAGCCAGAAAGTGGTAAATACTCAAACCAATTATTCTTTCTTAGAAAACAGAGGGGTCTAGAAACGTGGTCTTCTAACCAGTAGCTAATAGCACCATATGCCTATTTAAAATAATTAAAATTATGTAGAAAAAAATCATTTCCTTAGAGATACTAGCCACATTTCAAGGGCCGAGTAGACACACATGACTGGTGGCTACCATAAGGGACAGTGCTGATGTAGAATACATCCACAGTCACAGAAAGTTCTGTTGGACGGCACTAGTCTAGAAGTTGTAGACTACTTATCAAGCATAACAAATTACATCCAGGTGAGTGACAGGAGCTTCACTAACCCAACCTACTCGTTTGATAAACTCCAGTGGGGGACAAGGTCAACAAACAC